GCGATATGCGGTCGTCGTGTTGCGATATCGGGGCCTACGCGTGTTTCCCCAAGCCGGAGAACCCGACTCGCCATACGATACGCATTAGTTAATCAAATCTTCCCGTTCGTGATAAGATCTATCTCTCGGTGCGAAAAGACAACAAATCGAATCTATTGAAGCTATCTGTAACATGAGCTCTAACGGTATGATTCTTTTTTGGTTCTTTTTTGTGATTTTCATGTCGTGATTTTATTAATTATATACACGACACGCACACACAACACACCCACTGTGGGAAAAGGAAAAAAATCTTTGCATATGTTTCAGGCATATGTGCATGGTGATGAGGGGTGTGCAGAAGATCAACAGCAAGACAGTAACCTCGACGATGCTGGGTGTGTTCCGCGACGATCCGAAAACTCGCGAGGAATTCCTGAACCTGGTGCACAAGTCGTAAATGGTCGAGTCGCGTCGCGTCGCGATGTCATTATCGTTGGCTACCGTGGGACCATTAGATTTCAACATCCCGACACTGCTCTCCGACATCCGACCGGACATCCGACCTCGTTGGGAAGCCCTCGCCCACAGGACTTCTGGATCGTTGTCGTCGCCGCCACCGCAAATGTCGTCTCATTCGCTTACATTCTATTTGTTTCTGGAAAAACAAAATCGTACACGCGTTCGTCGACCTCGACAATGATACCATGTGTTTCTGTATCGTAAATACGATAGAGAAAGTTCAAGAGCGATCGCTTTCTGGGACCAAGATAGCGTGATAGCGGATGATGGAGATGATGCTCGACGCGTGTCCCGCGCTGATAAGGACGCGCTTAAATTGCTGATCGAGTGACATTGACAATAGCGACGACTATGACGCGTCATGGTCATCCACGAAGACGCCTGTATGTTTCGAAATGACTATGACGCGAATGGTTCGCGAGCGATTTATTGCGTCGAGCATTCGGACGTCCATTCTGGTGCAAAGGGACAGCGAAAAAAATAACGGTGTAAGACGAATTATTCAATGCGATAAAACATCTGGGAACAGGAAATTGCTGCTGGAACAGCGACATTCCTGTCGCAAAGTCCATATTCGCTGCACTTTTGACCGAACGAGTTTGTCGCTTACGAAGGAGCTTTTTAGGAAATTTTTCAACGAAAGCGCCCGTTGATCGCAAACTTACATAGTCGATGCGCTTCTCATGACAATAAATTATACATCTCGTAGATTAGTGAATTCTTTTGAAGAGACCACGCTCGAACTTTCGTCTGTTTGCGTCAACTGTGTGGGCTTTCAAAACTTAAGGCCTTGGCACATACAAAAACTTAAAACGTAAGATTTAAGCAGTAAGGAAATCAACACGTTGGATTCGCTACTGTTTATGTTATGGTCTTACGGTCTCTATTGTGATTGATCGATTCGCTTACTGTTTAAGTCTTACATTTTAAGTTTTTTTATGTGCCATGACCTTTACTTTTGTCATGCGTTTCGCGATATTCGGTACTTCTCGCAGCTGTGGAACTCGACAGCCACGGGTTTCGCATTGCGACCGATCTACATCGCGTGATCGCCTATTTTTGTTCGCCACATTTAACATTTGTTAATAAGTGCATTTCGATTAAAACAGATATATTTTTATATTTGAAATATTGCCAAAAATTAGGATACCTATTCTTTTTGATTTCTAAAATTAAATTAACTTGATTTATGCTTCAAGTCGAAATATACACATTAAAATGAAATCCATTTTGAATTAATTAAAAATTAACGTTTTTTTTTTGTAACTCTAATTCATGATTGACATAAAAAAACTTCCTCTTAATTAATTAAAATTCCAAAAACATGTTTTAATAGTTTTGTTTAGGAAAACTTGTTTTAAATGCGCTTATTACCGGACTACATATCATTCATCTTTAATGAGTCTTCTCATCTTAGTTTGATTTAATTTTAAACAATTCGCGAAAAATGTCGCGAAATGCGTACTGCTTCAGCCATGCATTGCGCGCATCGTGACAAACTTTGAAAAATATTATTTTTCAAGTACACACCGCATTTGCCTATCCATTCGTCGAGACGCTTCCTAGGGAAAATTAAATTGTCCACCCTCGGAAGCCCATTCTCGAGTTATCACGAGAAATGCATATCATTAAACTAAAGTTAATTCACTTTGTATTCTACATTAATTAAAGATATCGCGAATTTTTTTCTCGTATAAACATTGTTAAATTTACATAGGATTTGTATTTTATCTGGGATTGTGAAAATTTATATAGAGAATGTTGCCTTTGTTGCACTTTACTTTTCACGTGTTTGCGGCTAGTCCATGAGTCCGCACTTCACATCGAGATTTTTACTAATATTAATGATGTAATATAACGCAATTTTTATTGTGTACATATCGATTTTTGTTAAAGTATGTGATTAAAAACTTCCTGCCTCAACTGAAGTGACAAAGCTTCAGTATATTCTCCGATTATACCTTCTGACTGCGAAAGGCTGCAGAGAGATGTTCAAGTTATTTACGAAAGTAAACATTCAATATTTGTAATATTTTTCTGACAATATTATATAAAATTATATTTATATTTTCGATGACAGAGCATTGCTTGTTTTTTTCCTTCTTTCCTCTTATGCAGACATAAAAAATAGGCCTATTCTTTTTAGCTGAATTTTTGCACGAGTTTATCTTTCTTTCTTGTTTCTTCAGAAGGAAAGAAGAAGATGAACTGGTACAAAAATTCAGCCAAAAGAACAGGCGTATCAATAGGAATATTCAACATAAAAGTTATGCGTTTTTCGGGTTTCCTCAGTGTCCAGATCCATTCTTGGAATGCCAACGTTTCGTGAACCTTACAGTCCACTTCATCAGGGCGAGGTGCAGCCTGATTTAGTGTATCAAGTAATAACTTTTATATAGAAAGCACCCATGGAATCCTCAAGAATAGGAATATTCAACATTTCAGAAATATATTACATAATTTGGTATGTTCTCCGATGCATCTTTTTCCTAGTGAAAATTTAATATGTAATATGTACGTTATTAAATTTTTATGCAGTATGTTTTTCAAGATTTTCGGTGATAATCGGTATTTGTTAACAGCCTAATCGAGACATTTTAACCTACATGCACGAGCACCAAACTGATTAGCACGTTGCACTATTGCATTATATAAATTACTTCTCGCGAAACAACGTCCCCAACCTAAATTCCATATTAGTCTCTCGTAAACCTTGTATCTGTTCCCGATGAACAACTCACCCATTTTCAGTAAATTATACATTTCTTGCACGCGTTAATTATACTTATTTAGCATCTCGGAAGAAGATAAAATCGAGAGATCATCGAGAATAAATGCGAGATTAATAAATTCTTACTTTTTGCATTCTATTTTTCAAAATCGTTTAAGATTTTATTTTGAATTGTATATATTTAATTGTATATATTTATCAGTAAAATATTGTACATTTAAATTTGTCGCATCGATAATTATTTTTGATAGTTTTTTTTTTCAGAAATAAACTGCATCAAAAATTTTTTTTCCTTCTTCATATAATAAGCATTATGACGAATCTGATTGAAAGTGTGCATATTAAAACCGTTGTACTCTGATCTAATTTGAGTATAAAAATAAAATACAAATATTTCGAATTATGAAATACAAAATATTTTACGTAACAGTACAATAAAATATATTGAGTATTTTACAATTTAATCGATTTTCATGGTTATTTATACCCATATATTTACAATAACAATAATTATATTAATTATATAATTTTTAGATAGTGAATGCAGTAGAATTAATCATTGAAATTAAATAAAATAATAAATAGATAGAAATAATTGTGCAATTAATAATTTCTGTAATCTGTTGCTCTAACAAATAAAAAGAACTTGAATATATATTCATCTTTTAAAAAGATATTTTATAAATTTTCAAAGAGAGAATTTTTCTTCGCGTTAAACATGTTCAAAAGACGCAAAAAATATAGATTGTCAACTGTACCTTCCTCTTTCTCCTTCGAGATGTTGAGACAGTTTTAGCTAGAAAAAAATTATGAAACGAATCTTAACCATAATTACTATTTATGTACATAATTTTAGACGCCATTCTTCGGTGGTGGTCTATAAACTCCGACCACAACAGCGTGATCTCTTTCATATGGTTCAAGTGTTATTTGTTCTTGTGGTTTCAAATTATCGGCAATCAACTTTTTCACTTCCGATGCAAATACCGTTTCAGGTTGAGCGAGAGAGTCTATGCAACTTGCCTGAAATAAAATATAAATACAATATAACAAATAAAATCAATAACATAATGTCACTAGATTACTACCCCTTAACCTTTGGAGGATCGGAGTCCCCTTTAGGGACTTTGAACCATTTTAATTACTTTTTTGGGATTTGTGGTGTTTGTAGCTCATAATTAGCTCGAAAATGTTGCAATTGATGTCCGCATATATTTTGGAGAGTAGGGCGCGCACCATGCATATGCCGGCGCGCACCATGCATATGCCAGCACACACGTTTCTCGATAACCGTACCGTGTATGAGACATTATTTAAAAAAGTTTATTTTATTGCATGGACATAACTTACTGTATAAAAAAAATATTTTTACATACGTTATTTGTGAAATTTTTACTCTACAATGATGATAGACAATTACTTTAACAATATCTAATATTTAATTTAAAAAAAAAAAATAAAAACGCCATTTTATCTGAACTGGAGGCTCCTTTAGGAACTCGACAGTGACGTCACCTTTTTCACCATTCAACCCCATAGCATTGACAAGAGTTCTAGCCCTTACAGTAAAAAAGTCATTCAAAAACATGCCGATCCTCAGAAGGTTAAAATTATTCGATTATGCTATATAACATTTAGCTTAAATATACTTTTCAATCATAATTTAATAAAAAATCTTTTACTTTAATAGAGATGACAAAATGTCCGCCGTTCTTTAGGAAATTCTGTGCATTCAGCGAAACGATTCTTGCTTGGTCCGGTTGTGCGACATCCGAGAATATAGTGTCTACCATCCCTACAAGCATTCTGTACTTGTGAGGGTGTCTCGCGTCCTCGACTATAGGTATAATGTTGCTCCTTCTTTTAGCGACATCAATTAAATCTCTTCCTGTTCGATGGGAGAATTCAACAGCGAACACAGTTCCTTCCTACATATAAAAATATTGAGTCAGTCATAATTTTATATCATTTAGAGACGTTCGTGTATCACAATAAACTCTGTACACATGTGTCTTTTTCTGAGCAAAATCAAATCTTACTCATTCTAAAGAAACATGTGTGCGATTGTTTTAGCATTACTTCGACACCAAGTTTGCAATTGCAAGCTAACTTGGCTCTAATGTATGCATAAACGTGTTACTCTCAACAAGATTTCCAATAGTGTTTACCGGACCAATTATGTCAGCGACATGGGACACAGTGGTACCAGATGCTGCACCTAGATACAATACTTTGCTTCCGCGAGGCATATAAATTTTATCAACGCCTCCGAGAATAGCGGCAGATAACTTGGATCGAAATGGATTCCATACTCTATACTCTATCTTCTCACTCTTTTCTTCGCCAGGTTTATCAGACTGAAATACAAACATAATTTTGTTAATTTACACATTTAAAAGTAAAATTATTATAAAGTTCCACCTATATTTACCTCAACACTAATTCTTTTTTCTCCATATACTGCTAGCCCTGGTACCAAGCTCAAGGTTACTAATGCATCTTCCCTTCCTCGGGCTATAAACACTCCCTCATGACGATGTGGTTCTATTATTACATTCTTTCCTCCTTTAAAACCACCACCACCACTGCTTGCTCTTCCTCCTCGACCTCCACCTCGTCCTCCACGTGGAGGACCACCACCTCTTCCACCTCTACCACCTCCACGACCTTCGCCGAAACTTGATCTACCTCCTCCACGACCACCACCGCGACCACCTCCATAGCCGCCACCTCTACCACCTGGTGAAAATGCTGCAATTTGAAAAGAAACATTAATAATAGAAAAGGAATATAGTTAACATATTTGTAATTCCTCTCATAGATATCTATTTTTATATGCTTTATATATTAGTTTAATTTTGGATTAAAATTAATATAGAAATATGAGTTTATTATATCAGATATTGGAAAATAAAATTTTATTTATAATTTTATATGATGCATTAATTTTAATGTGTTTATTTTAATATATATTTTAATATTTCTTTTACACAAGTAGTGTTCATTTTTAAATATTAATTTTTGCATTCTGGCACAAAATTTGAAAATGTTCTATTATGAATTCTAGCATCAATTATGGATCATCCAAACATTTTTTTTTCTCATTCCGAATGTATACAAATAAAGACATGGAGTGTGTTCCGAGTTATCATGCATCATGCGCTTCATGCGTAACTCGGAACGCATCCATGATTACGTATAACGCGTAGGTAATACACATTCGAGTGGCTAGGTTAAGTTAGCGAGTTAGTGCCACGCGGCCGGCAAATCGTTTGTAACTTAACATAAACGTATATTTACAATTATCGTGAACGCTGCTGAAAGGAAATACGAATTGAAATGGCTCTAAATTAAGCCGCGATATTTAATTCCAAACGTGCACTCACTAAATCTCAAAGTGCGTTTTCGCCGAGGTTAGCTTGGTAGGAAGAAACCGGGATGCAGGTCTCACTGTGTTCAGGAATCGTGAAATAGG